ATAGCTTCTGCCACCAAATGGGCTGGAATTACAGTATTTGCTTTCTGTTCTTTTGTCAACAAAGCTTAATCAAAACATACTCTTTTAAGCTCATAACATGAAATAACTCATGACAGAAATTATTTTTCAAAAAAATTAAGTTAATATTATGGTGTTTTGTTGTCACAAAATATTTTTCCACCAAAAGGGGGGAAAATGATGACCTCCCTCACTCTTGGGCGCCAGTCATTTTCCTTCATAATTATTTAAACTTTTAACTTCATATTATTGCTTTAACCAAATTCTAGACATTATTATCAATCATCAATACTCAACAATTTTATCAAAACACCGTCTATTTTGCTAATTAATTTCAATTTCATCAATCATACCTGCGACCCAATTATCATAAAAATAACATATATAGATAGAGAGAAATTGAACTTGCCTTAATCACCATGCTATTTGGTCTGCTATTAATTGGTGATCTTGGTATAGGGGATAACAAAGATTCTATAACTTCACCATCCTAAACATGAAGAGTTAAGAGGAAAAAAGCAAAATCAATCAATGAAGTTGAAGCTTTATTAATTGAAACTCATTAGACTAAATCTTGGATTAATTAGTACAAAATCTTCATCACTCAGAAGATATAGAAGAGGTCATGTCATACCTTGGAATCTTCGTTTAGGCTTAGTTGTTCTTCAGCATCTTTTCCCATGTTATTTAATTTCTGCAATTTGATTAAGCTGAACAAGCAACTGTTTTAAGGTTAAGAACTGAAATCTGGAGATTTTGACAAAAATAAATGTGCAGAAGAAGCTAATTGAATTGCACAAAAATGATATGGCAAATAATTAAACGTTAAATATATATTTAAAATTAAAAGGGGACACAAAGACGCCGACAATAATAAAAGTCGACTACTGATTCACTCTCTTTTTAGGTAACTAAGGTAATCTCACTCCCAAGGAGGTATCTTTACAATAATAAAGTAGTAAAGCAAAATATTCGAAACTTGTGATTTTACAAATGATATTTCAATAAGAAGTTTATAATCGCATTATTTTAGTTATGTAAAAATATACTATATTAATTTTTAGAATATATTAATAAAAATAATATCATATAAAATAAAACAAAAAATAGGATAATAAGTGATTAGTAGGTTACAATTGGAATCTTGGTGTTATGAATCTTAGTGATTTTTAATCCAGTTGACATTTTCTACTCTCTTTTAATCCATGGGAAATTAAATGAGTATTTTCTTTTGTTTCTTTTTATCAAATAAAAGAATGCTCAAGGACAAACTTATCAAGATGTTCACATGATCTTTTAGTAAGGTATTTGATATTTGGCTTAAAATATGTATATTTATATGCATATTGCCTCGTATTTTACTCATGTTTCGTAGATTTCGGATGTGTA